ATCAAGGTGTGTCCACTAATTATCACCAAAGGTGTTTACAATCTCGTAATCAGTCAGTGCGCCTGTACATAGGGCTACAGATACTTGCTGTGCTGTTTGGTGACATGGTGTGTACCACACTCTGCATTGACCACAGGAAGCGAAGGAAAGAGTTGTCTCAGGAGATTAGAAAGAAAATTAAAAGCAATTGTGTTAAAGGTAAAGGTTATAAGACCATGATGTTCCTGTGAATACAGTTGCACATATTATTCAGAAATTTAAAATACATGGGACTGTAGCCAACCTCCCTGGATGTGGCTGCAGGAGGAAATTGCTGACAAATTAAAGAGACGGATAATATGGATGGTAACAAAAGAACCCAGAAAAAACTTCTAAAAAGATTAAAGGTGAACTTCAAGCTCAAGGAACATCAGTGTCAGATCGCACCATCCATCATTGTWTAAGCCAAAGTGGACTTAATGGGAGATGACCAAGTAGGACACCATTGTTAAAAACAAGTCATAAAAAAACGTCAGACTGGAGATTGCCAAACTACATGTTTACAAGCCACACAGCTTCTGTGATAATGTCCTTTGGACAGATGAGACAAAAATGGAACCTTTTGGTAAGGCACATCAGCTCTATGTTTACAGACAGAAAAATGAAACATATCAAGAAAAGAACACTGTCCCTACTACATGGAGGAGGCTCAGTTATGTTCAGGGGCTGTTTTGCTGCATCTCGCACAGGGTGTCTAGCAACTGTGCAGGGTACAATGAAATCTCAAGACTATCAAGGGATTCTAGAGAGAAATATGCTGCCAGTGTCAGAACGCTTGGACTCCGTCACAGGTCATGGGTCTTTCAACAGGATAATGACCCAAAACAGCTAAAACACCCAAAAATAGCTCGGAGGAAAACATTGGACTATTCTGAGGTGGCCTTCTATGAGCACTGACTTAAAGGTAAAGGTGCTTTATTTGTCATCAGTGTATGTTTCCACACAATGAAGAAATTGTGCTCTGCATTTAACCCATCCACACCCAAGTGGAGCAGCGGGCAGCCATGTGAGGCGCCCTGGGAGCAGTTAGGGTTAGGTGTCTTGCTCAAGGACACCACGACATGTGGGTATGGCGGGGAGTCGAACCTAAGACTTTCGGGTCCCAAGCCGGCTGCTCTACCACTACACCACAGCCGCCCCTTAAATCCTATTGAGCATTTTTAGAAGGAGCTGAAACATTCCACCTGGAAAAGGTACCCTTCAAACCTGAGACAACTGGAGCAGTTTTCTCATGAGTAGTGGGCCAAAATATCTGCTGAGACGTGTAGAAGTCTCACTGACAGTTACAGGATCTGTTTGATGATTGCCTCAAAAGGTTTTGCAAAAAAAAAAAGTTGAGTACCAACATTTCTCTCCATGCCTGTTTAGAGATTTTTAATTTTCATTATTTTTTAATTTATTTTTACTTTTGTGAGGTCCTAGTTATTTCTGTGACCATTGTGTTTTATTTTATTTTAATTTTTTTCATTGATACAGCCATCTGAAATAGTACATGTGGTTGTGTTCCTATTGTCTTGGAAGTTAGAACTCTGCTCTGAGAATGACAACATACTCAACTGTGATCCAACTGCAAGTCAAAAACCATTGCAGTACATATTGTATTTTAAGACCATAGATGGTGCACTGTTGCCAGTGTAGGAAATGACAAACTTTAAAAATCTCATATTTTGATCATAACTATGTGCAGAGTAGGGGTGCATTTTTTTCAGTGCAGAAATGCCAAATAATTGTTGTATATCATATACATGTAAACCCTAAAACTGTTGTATAAATATTTTTTTTGTATATTTGGCAACAATGGACTGATACAAAAAGTACAAAAAAAAAAGCAGTTCTGCCTACTTCACTAGATTAGCTGATTGTAAAACCAATCATTTGTACTCAAATATGTTTGGCCTTCAGTAGACAGTTCTTTACAATAGTTTTCAGATGCAGCAATAAAAGCTTTGAAAATGCAGCAAAAGAAGAAATATGTTTTCACCTAAATACTACTACAAGTTGAAAAGGTAAAAACAGTGTTTTAGTACTTTATTCTCTGCCAAATATGTTTTCACCAWATTTCCTCAAATGAACATTGATTTATTATATAGCCATGCAGCAGTTTAAGAATGTCAGCATTCTTCATTATGATATAGTGGGCTCATTGTTTGACTCAGTAGTTTAATATCATGGTCAAATTTTCCATAATTTGCCAAATTAGTTATGTATTCATCAAAACCCTCTGCTGAAAGTCAGAATTTTTTTTCATTATAATGATACATTTTAGTAATGATAATGCCTCATCAAGTATAATCCCCCTCAGTTCAGAGTTTTTCATTTGTGCTGCAGTTTAAACAAAAATCAACATTTTTTTAAATAAACGTCTGCCCTAAACTTGGAGAAGCTCTGCTGCAGTGCAATCAACCTCAGTTTAGCATTTAATGCCAATTGAAGCACTGCAGAGTATCTTTAATGACATTCCCCCAGGAACAAATGGTGACAGAGTCAAATTGCTTAGCAAAGCCCTTTTAGGGAAAACTTCAGACAGCTTGGTGGTGCAGAAGAAGTTTATGCTGTCACTTAGTGGTAACACATCAATGTTCATCCACAGAAAATTACCAACTTTATGTCCCTGAATCTGCTCAAGTTGGGAAACCAGTAGGGAAGATCAAAGCCAACGATGATGACCTTGGTGTCAATGCAGACATCAAGTATAGCATCATAAACTCAGAGGGTGCCAATATGTTCTCAATATCTACTGACAGAGAAACAAGAGAGGGAATCATCAGTCTCAAAAAGGTAAGAACAAGCTTACAGTAACACAATAGTAAGATATGTTCCCTGAGAT